CTAGCATTTTAAAGGCTCCATTCGTCCAAATCATCATTTCATCAATCAATCATTTCGCGAAACGGAGCCTGCGCTCGCTGGTTGCTTTGACGGCGCCATGTCTTTTTGACGAGCGAAGACGAGCACTGCTTGATGCAGCTATGCGCATTATGGCGCGCCATTCTTTGAAGTTGTGGTGGGCACATTGCAAGGCATTGTCGTAACGGCTGATAAATGAGTCAAATTTTTCGAGCAATATTCTAATTTGAACGAACTACAGCCTTCCCCATTCGATGTAGTGACTGAGACCGCACGGAGTGACACGAAACCGCCCAATTTGACAGAGGAGAGAACAGCCAATCTGAACAGTATCGAGCATGATCCAGAGCGTGTGGCCGGCTACCCACTGGGGCTCAGATGCCGCATACCGACGATTTTAAGCGGCTACATGAGAGTGAGTTGCACTTGTGTGAGCACAAACTATGGGTCCCAGACTTTTGGACCGTTTAACACGCGCTCCGGTGGGAGCCCGTTTGACCTCTAATGGTTTCTCCAAAATAACTTTCGAGCGGCCCAGTTTAGCCATATCAAACGTGCCATGGACATAGCCTATCAAATATAAAATATTTTGGTACAAGCAAGTTAAAGTTACCTCGTACGGTCGCTGACCTTTAGTCAAAATAAGGTCATGCCTGTCAGCGAACGCAAATCCTGGTGAATAATTCACTCTGATGCGATAGCGGAGTGCTGGACGAAGTCGTGCATCTTTGAGACGGCTCCTTTGACAACTAGACAATTCACTTTACAACCATAACTAATTCGACTGCACTTGGGCAAGGTATGGTCAGGTCGAGGTACAAACCAGTCGCTTCTTTCTGCAAACCTTATTTCGTGGGGTTTGCAGACATTGTTAAAGTGTTAACTCTCCTTTCAATTCTTTATCACCGAAAGGTCAACGAATGTTATTTTGAGCGTAATGAAGCTTAGAAGAGGTCACTAGCCTATGAGGACTGTAGTCAACTTTTTGTTTTTAGGAACTTCCCTTAGCGTAAACTTTGTCGCTTATTGTATCTAAAAAATAAGGAATTGCAGTTTTCTGGGTAACTGTGACCTTCCGAAGGTCACACAAGATTAATTATCTGAAATTTGCACCAGTGACATTCAGCTCAGCAGAAAAATCAAGGTTAAAGGTGATTACATATGCAGGCCTGAGAAAAATTCGGACGCCGATCTTGAGTTTGGCCATGTTTGACCTTATTTGACCCGAAGGTCACAATCAAGGGACCTAAAACATCCGTCCACGTGCCACGCCAATCCGTGTGCCAATCGCTATATTAAGCTAACACTGTTCAACCCGCCGATGCGCCAGTAATCGATCGGAGGTGACAAAGCTCACCTCTCATAAGCGGTCTAAAAGAAAACAGGCTGTGCTACGCCGAATCAAATTTGTCCGTGCAAACCCCATGAACATGCATTTTAGTTCACTTCGGTCACTGTCCACTGCAAATAATCAAATTTCATGGAGCGCTCTGATGAGTCGCCAAAAGCGTAATTAATCATGCATTCATGCATTTCCTGAACTACGACTGTTCGGAATGGCCCAATCATTAACTAGAGATACGTTATACAATGCAGTTCGCGGGCCTCGACAGCGAGCCTCTGTCTACTATATGGTAGAAAAAGTGGACTTTTATGGTATTGGCCCTATGGACATATTTGCATCAGTTTCCAGTTACATCTGACTGTCATAACCAAGACTGTCATGCTCTTCCTGGTGACAAGTGAGAATTGTCATATTCGTTACCACCTGGCTCGTCGCGAGGCCTGGAGGCGAACTCAAATCCGAAGCTGAGACAATGCCATGATGCCGGGGCCTAAGGCGAAAACAAAGCTGGTGGCTTTGAGGTTTGGAACTGCGAAGCAGAAGTAAAAGCCAGTAGCTTTTTGGTTTGAAAAGAGCAGGCCGACTAAGAAGCCAGTGGCTTACAACTTTGTACATGCGAGGCCGAAGCAGAGCCCATCAGTTTAAATTGACGGGACGGAAGTCGATGTGGAATTTGGCAGGCGACGTTGTTTTTCGAAACCAAGACTGCTTTCGCGTTTTGTGAAACACGCATGGATCAGAAAATATAATCAAGGTTCTGCAGAGCGAATTAAATGGGGTGTTAGGATTATAAATGGAGTACCTTTTCGGATTATTGTCATCATATGTTAGTATCAACGAACTGTTTCGGATAGTTTGGCTGGTCCTGGAAATGGCCGGTTAGTTTTTGAACTTTCAGTGAACTATGTGTAGCAGCCTTGAGAAGTGTGAGGTATATTGGGGTGACGTGCCAACAACACAGTTTTCTGTAAAGTAAATTCACAACTGTAGTGAGAGAAAAAAAAATCAGCACGACGAAGCCAAAACTATTAGCTCAAGATTGCAAAAAGACCCAGCATGAAACTCCAGAGCAACAATTCACTTTATTTCAAACCGAAGCTCAGCCCGAAACCAGCTGTTAAAAAAATGATACAAAACCTAACCCGTTATCGAAGAAGCCGAAGCTGAAGCCTACTCCGTTCCCATGTCCGTTCTTCACACACTGCACAATTGGTTTTCCTGGTATCATAATAAACAAAACGTCATGGCTGTACCAGTCAGTTCATAACATGACTTGGGTACGCTTCAATTCCAGTAACCCTTGGCTTATAGCTGTCTCTTAAGCTCTCCTCAACAGATAGGGAAGTTCAAAAAGGCTTTAGGTTTTGTTGTGCCACTTAACGTTTCCTCGTTAGCTGGGAACACGCACAGTTTCAAAATGAACACAAAAATAATACCTCTTACTTACCTCGGCCTAAAAAGTACTTCGGGTAATGATCAGCTTGTCATGTGGACAGCAGGAGAATTCAACGGCATTAAAATTGTCCTGTTTCCCACTGATCTTGTGAAATTCGTTTCCTACCTAGTGACTTTCGTTCCAAGCACGAAGCTTAGTGGTTACTTTGAACCGCTCGAACTCGGAAGTGACCCGAAGGTTGAATATTTTACTGAGCTACGTGAGCAGGATATTCGTTAGACACGACCTTTACCTTAGCGACCACATTTTTGCAAGTTTAAACAGAGCAGCTCGCCACCAGGAAAAGTGTTGACCTGCCACGTGTAACTCAAACACCAAGGTACTGAACTTCAACTGAATAATTTTACGATACAGAGATGCTGCGCCTGAGGTGAATCGTTACATAGCGGCAATTTTGTATCCGCTTGGATCTTAACAGGTCAGTAAAGTATCAGCGCATTAGAGCGTGCGACACATATCGATTAATTTCCCACGTGCACGAGTGAAAAACACGCATTCATGAACCCGCCCAAGCACTGAAATGTTTGCGCACAAGAACATAGTTTGAATGGCAAAACTGCTGAAAAGCGGAACAAGCATCCATGAAGTCACACGCAACGCAAGCATGGATTTTCAGAAGAAAAGAAACTGCGAGCAGGCGTGACTGTGTAGACGTACTGCTCGCAGTGGTGCAGTGCGGCGATCAACCATGAACTATTGCACGAGATATGCACAAAATTGAACCACCGAACGTTTGGCATGATTTTTGGATGCTGCAAGACCGCTCTTTATAAGCTATACGAACCAATTTCCGAAGTGAAAGAGCTGTGAAATGATCCGAAAGTTAGGCTAGTTGGCGCCGAGTATGATACTTTCTGGCGGAGCGACGGATTTTTCGGCTATATGTGAACAGCCAAAGGTCTTTGGTACTCCATGGGCACGCAACAAATGATCAGCATCTGCATAACGTCTAAACAGCATGGCTGGTAAAACCCCAAAGTATGTGTGCGTCATATTAATTCATAATGTTCGAAAACTGATGTGTTCGGATGTTATTCGATTCAGACTAAATCGAATTCGTTCAGTTCAAATAAAACATTTAAAAGTTGACGTTCACGATACTGTTCGATCCATAGCATAGAGTAATGAGCACAGGCTGGAAACTCTAAGAGATATATCGTGGGAACGCACTGAAAGTTGCGACGGATTCATTAGCTATGAGTGAGAAAAAAAAACAAACAAAAACCGGTTGCTGATTCCACCAACAGCCCGCGCTTTGGAACTTCGCGAGAACGCTTTTGATAAGCTTAGCTTAGCCGAAATCAGCCAGTCTTTACAAATATTGACTCAAGTGACGAGTGTGTCCCTAGTTCTCCAGTACGGAGCATCAGCCCCGCACGCCCCATGGGCAAATCCCTGGCCCCGTGCGGCCTACGACCACGCGCAGCAAAACCATGAATCCAGCGTCAGGCGTGGTCATTCATATGAAGTCTCGCCCTCCCTCTTCACAACCTCGGCAACGATTTGGCACACTGGTCACCGTGCTTACGCCCCGGCGAACTCCGGGGAGGATTGGAACACTGGCCCTGTTGTCACCTTGCCTCACCCCAGCCAGCTCGCTCATGACGCCCGTGCACGGGAAGGGGTCCACGCAGCGGGACGGCGCGTGGGCGTCACCCTGCCGCTACTGCTGACGCCAGGGAAGAGTGGAGGCATGCTGGTGGCTTTTGAAATCGTGCCAACCACATCAGTCGGTCGCCTTTTCATCTAGATGAGAAATTTTGGTCGGGAGCATAAGCCGTATTTTGGACGGGCCGATGCAATTTGAGGGTGGACGTGGCATGAATCCAACAAACTGTGTCGGACGCGTGCTAGGAAGAGCTCATGGCTGAGACGGCCGAATGATGGCCTCAGAGGGGACTCACTGCACCGTTACGGTTCGAGAGCTGCCAGGTGCCCCGTAACGCCAGCGCCCACGAGCGCCCGTTCCAAGACTGCCCAACGCGTGTCTGGCCCCGCGGCTACAGCCTGAGTAGCAGCACGGAGCAGTGTCCGTCACTCCTCCCTCCCCGCCCGCTCCTGCGCTCCCCGCCCGCCATCACACCATCTGCGGCTCGACCGAGTAGGCGCGCAGCACCGGCGGCCGCCGGGGCGCCAGCTCCTGCCAGGCCGACTCGGCCGCCAGGCTGGCGCTGCTCTGACCGGACCAGAGGCGACCGGCGCGGACCGGCCGACCCTCCGCCTGCTCGGACAGCGAGCCGCCGCCCTCCGACGACGTGTCGGCCGGCTTATGCAGCCAGACGCGGCTGCCCGAGTCGGAGCTTGAGGGCGGCGTGGCCGGCGGCGCGCGCGGCCCCTCCGCCGCCTCCGCCGGCGAGGACGAGGTCGAACGGTGCAGGCGGCCCGAGAGCGAGCGCGTGACGCGGCGGCGCGCCGCCTCGCCCGTCAGCAGACCGCGCGCCGCGCGCGCCGCCTCCTCGTCGTGCGGGATGGGCAGCGGAGCGCGCGCCGGCGGCCGTGGCGCTGGGAAGCGGAAGGCACGCGCGGCGAGGCCGGCGGCGCCCAGCGCCAGGCTGGCCGGCGAGTGCTCGGCCACCGGCGAGCCGGACGAGCTGTCCGAGTCGGCGCCGATGGCGTCCGTGGAGCGGGCGCGGTGCGGCTCGCGCGGCTCCAGCTGCTGAGACATCTGCGCCCAGGTCAGCTCGGACGCCTGGCGCCGCAGCCGTGTGTGGTGCCGCCGTCGCCGCCGCCGCCGCCGCCGCCGGCTCGGAGCCTTCATGAAGGCGTCCGACAGCCGCCGCTGCAGCTGCTTGGGCAGCTGCATGGTCAGCTGCGTGGCGATAGACGGCCGCTGCAAGCAGGTGCGCGGCCCGCGCGCCTGGATCTCCAGCTGCATCTCGGACTTGTACAGCTGCTTGCGCACAAAGTTCTTGAAGATGCGGCGCAGGTTCTTGCTGCGGCAGCCGTAGATGAGCCCATGCAGCGGGCTCAGACAGAGCAGCAGGTGCGCCACGAACACGAACCGCTCGTCCACGACACGGCCTGCCACGCTCTCCCACGCCACCACGCTGCCGAACGGCACGTACATGAGCAGCAGCGGCAGCAGCACGTTGATGGTGGTGCCGAGCGGTGAGCGGCTGCGCTGCGCGCACTCGATGCCCGTCTGCGGCACGGCCAGCCTGGCGTTCATCGTCACCGCCGACACGATGGCCGACACGATACGGCTGCGTTGTGTCCGCGCCACGATCAGGATGCGCACGTTGAAGAAGACTATGAGCGCGGCCGGCAGCAGCAGCATGCAGCACACGTACAGGATGCCGAAGATACCGTCGGCGAATCGGCGGAACTGCGGCAGGCAGAGTCCGACGCGCGGCCGGAACGAGAGGCCGGCCGCGAGCGGCAGCAGCACGCAGCCAGCCGACAGCGTCCAGCAGGCGGCCAGCGCCGCCAGCGTCTTCCACTTGGTGACCGAGTCGTTGTAGGAGAGCGGCACGCAAATGGCGGAGAACTTGTCGTAGTTGAGGCCGCAGATGGTCCATAAGACGACTGCGTGCAGGAGCAGGGTGAGGCCGCCGTACAAGGCACACTCCACCTTGCCATCCAGCCAGTCCTCCTGCCGGGCATGCGCGGAGCGGTGTCATCGGAGCGGCGGCGACGGTCGTCCATAGACAGCTAACACCAAACCAGCAGACCACCTTGCTAACAAAGTTGGATAGTGCGCGAGCCAAAACAGGTGTGATGCCAGTGGTTCAAGTCAACTTCGGTAGGATTTTCCTCAAACGGTTCCTACCCAGAGATGGCAGCAACTGGGGAGTGATCGATCGTCCTACCGTGGCACTAACGCGGCGCCAACCAGCGCGCGCGGCGGTCGGTTTACGGGCATGGTCGGTCTTCAAATACTCCCCGGTCTGGTGACCCAAACCGAGGGCACGGTCTCGCTATGCGCCAAAAAACAGTCCTCTGACCACCGGGCCTGTGAAAATGGTTTGGGCCCGCTGTATGCATACGCGCTTCGACAGGCAACTGCGCGTGCGCGCGCGCTCGTATGTGTGTGGATATGCAACTTATGCTCTGAATATGGCATTATCAAAAATATGTATAAAACGCGGGGAAAATGCGTGAAAATATAAAGATATCTAACAAATATTTAGACTTGAACTATCTGTTTCGCGTTTTTTTCCTGTTGAACCGTGTGCAGATCGAACGGCGGGCTGCTCAAAAGCGAACATTTGACAAGATGCACGTGCGCAGGTGACAACATGCCACGGCCAATTTTGTGCCCGAGCAAATAACGAGTAGCGCATGGCGCGCCACAAATTGCATTTCAGCCCTTTGGTTTTGCAATGACGGGCGGAAAAGCCGAGCCGCGCTAACCGGCGGGCAGCCGTTCGAAATCGCGGTCACATCTCGGCAGCCGCGGGTCGGAGCGACCCGTATTTTCCACGTGTTGTGACACATCTCGGCAACCAGAGCCGTTGGAGGCGTAAATTCAACTTCAAAATGCCAGCTAATGTACGGTCTGTGGTTCATGTGGCTAACAGGGGACTGTGCGACGCGCCTTTGCGCCGTTATCACCTCGTCAGCCTGGCATGTCGGGATTCGGCAAAATGGTGCCAAATGCAACACGATGTTGTCGAGACCATCGCCAGGATCCTGCCAAAATTTGTATCGCCACACGCGCGCATTCATCGGCTGTATTTACGACACATTTTGTTATCATTTTGTACACTCTTCCGTTCAAACATCAAGCTTGCCCTAATACTTATGAATTTTCTTTTTCGCGACGTCGACCGCCCAGCCGCCTCCCCCGAATAATTCAGGTTAAACGTTGGAAGCGCACGTCCAGTAATCGCCGACAGTCATCGCTGTTTTATGCATCTTTAGTTCATTCATTCGTTGCGGTCGGAAGCGCTGAGCCGAGGTAACAATAGCGGGCATAGTTGTAGCCCTTTGCAGGTCATTGCACAGATTAGACAATGTAGCAATCTGATAACAATGTGACAGAAGACAATGCTATATTTTTAGCTATATATATATGTACATATATATATATATATATATATATATATATATATACATATAACTTTAATACAATCAGCATAGTGTGCAGGAGCCTGCAAAGGTTGCAGCCATAAGACTGATCGGGTTAGCTCTCAGGGAAGTACGCTGCCACGGACAATCAGACCACGGGCAATGGTTTCATTTTTAGAATATCTGCAGAGCACGCCAGTGTGAAAGCCCAGAGCAACGTTCATAACTAGGAGCTGCAACATAGCTGGCATCGGCGGTCATTTTCCTTTACTGAAGCATCTGGGTGCACTTTAAGGCCCAAAGAACTCAAAAGGCATTTGAAAAACAGCAATGGAAGCTGCACATGTATTGACTTCGACTTGGAAAGCAGACGTATGATGGCTACAACTCTACGTCCTTAATATCGTGCCACGGCTGTTGTGCGCCGCTGGGTTTGGGGGCCTCATCAGCCGGGCCGAAAGATTACGGGTTATGGCACCTGTGCACGCTATGGAAGCATTTGACTCGGGTTTTAATTAACACTGCCCTCACTACATGCTGTTACCTCTTAAGACTACTGGCAAGTGGTCCGTACTCTGTGATGACCGGTTTCCAGGACATGGGTACGAACGACGCGGAGGCGTGGTCGGCGACTTCCTGCTTGTCCTCTGATGCCGTTTAAGTCAAAGTGCTATTGGGTACAAGTGTTTGGGCGTTATTTCGTTAAGCGATGGAAAGCAGCGATAATTTCCTGGCTGGCAGATTTGGCAGGCATGGTAAGCATTTGGCAGGGTAGTTAGAGTGCGCCTAAAAACAATCTGCAATACATTTTGCTGATCGATGGGCAAGTAGGTTAAAAAGCAGTCCAAACGTCCGTGGAGATACTTCAAGGCTGTGGAGGGCGCCGTCTGTGTGCTGAAGCTGTGCCAGCACCCATCTCGTCTGTAGCTAAAACAGGTCTTGTATAAGCAAACAGGTGACATGGCAATGAAGCACATCTCTCGGCATGTTTGGCCGCTGTCGGCACCGAGTCAGGCGCCGTTTCCGCGTCTCCCGCTGAGTGTCGCCGCGAACCGCACCATGCGGGCATGAGGCGGATGAGTTCTTGTCGATTTTTGTAAGTTTTGAGGAGAGGCCAGCGCAGATTTGTCACTGTGCGGCTGGGAAACCAGAGGTAAGGTTCGACTGAGCCGTGGACTCGCCCCTCCTGGCTGGGTGAGAGGCAGGTGACGTCACATAGCCTTAGAAGCTGAGTGTGTCGTAAAGCCGCGACAAAGTTGACGCGGATTTGTCAGAAAAGAAGCCAGGCTGGTGAATGCGGGGAGTCGAGTATTCGAGAAACCTCAAGGTGGAAGCATGCATCGGCGCGTGTCCCACCGACCCACCGCGCTGGTGTCGCAGCCACCCGTACCGGCTGCTCTCGCTGCGGGGCCAGCGGAGTCGCGGGCCCGGCGCGGCGCCCGGACCCCGTCGACACCGCGCTGGACACACACACTGACCTTGACGTAGGTGGACACACACACTGACCTTGACGTAGCTGGGCACCGTGGCGACCAGCGTGCCCACGCTGAGGCACACGTCCACCAGCGCCAGGTGCAGAATCAGTATGTTCGACCCGGAACGGTACTGAAATGCGGACAGGTGCGCTGAAAGCGTTTGGTATGCACTAAGAACCAGGTTTGTCGAAGCTGACCCACCGTTATGAGGTTTGAAACAATCAATAAGATTGTGGAAAAGTTAGATGTGGCCTACCTAAAACAATTGCTGGTTTTTCGCTTGGGTGTTTTGCTGCAACGACAACAGGCTTAGAAGTTTGAAAGTTATTGACAGCAAACTGCAACATATCAAAATATGTTTGTCTTTATTTTCGGCCGCCAAAGGCGTTCAAAATTGTATCAAAAAGACATTCAGTGATGGCAGACCTCCACATCGACCGAGGCAAACCGGCACCGAGGCAAACCGCACGTATTCGAACACGGTACCATCTGAAGTACCTTCCTCCTGTTGAGGTGTTGTTATCAACACCACCCGGTGCTGATGACATGATAACAACCGGGGCCGCAGGCCGTGTACGTCCCACCAGAACTCTTCGAAGCATTTCAACCAATGCGACCGGGATCTTTCGGCGCGCTTTTGATCACCCCTGTCCTTAGATACTGATCGTAGCTCAGTGGCTTTTTCAGCAGACAGGAGTAAAACTCAACTAAAGAACGCGCCTAAATAATGACGGGTTCGTTCGCCAGCGGGGTGAGTCGTAGGTGAACAGTGATACAAAGTCAAGTTTTAGTAGCCGGGCCCTTCACAGGATCATTGCCCTTTCTAGGCGCCGATATTTTTGCAGCTAGTGGTCGAAGGTCCATGCGGAGGTCCGAACAACTTTGACAGCATTAAACACAGTTTTGAAAGTTGTGCTGTAAGATCTTCCAAGTATTTATATGCAAGACATGCGACCGGCCGACGTATATTGGCCAGGCGGACATACTGGAACTCGCGATTTGAGTTGCCATTCGAACATATCTAACGTAACCTTTTCCGAACTGCAAAAAAGCTGAAGAGCGGGACCAGGTTCCTACGCCCTTCCTATGGACTCGTCCCGTGCCGTACAAGGCGTCTCAGCCGGGCTCTCGTCCCTAGCTGCGCAAGGCGTCTCAGCCAGGCTCTTGTCCCTCGCTGCACAAGGCGTCTCAGCCAGGCTCTTGTCCCTCGCTGCGCAAGGCGTCTCAGCCAGGCTCTTGTCCCTCGCTGCACAAGGCGTCTCAGCCAGGCTCTTGTCCCTCGCTGCACAAGGCGTCTCAGCCAGGCTCTTGTCCCTCGCTGCACAAGGCGTCTCAGCCGGGCTCTCGTCCCTCGCTGCGCAAGGCGTATCAGCCATGCTCTTGCTCCTCGCTGCGCAAGGCGTCTCAGCCGGGCTCTTATCCCTCGCTGCACAAGGCGTCTCAGCCGGGCTCTCGTCTCTCGCTGCACAAGGCGTCTCAGCCGGGCTCATCCCGTGTCGCACAAGGCGTCTCAGCCGGGCTCATCTCGTGCCGCACAAGGCGTCTCAGCCGGGCTTGCCTTTCGCCGCGAAGCCACAAAAACAGCCTACAGGTAAGTCTACAAAAGTTGTTGACGAAGTACGATGAGAAGTCGCCGCAAGAACAAGAACAAACTCAGGCAGACTCATAAAGGTCTGCCCTTGAGTTTGCTTCAGATTCAAAAAAATACTTATCAAAGACGCGATATCCCCAACCCCGTTTATGTGGTATGCTAGTGTGCCCCTGGTACGCACCGAAACAGTTACATTGGCACACGCCGGCGCCGGCTCTGTGGACGCACATTTCCTCCTGACGACATTGGAGAAAAGGGTCCAGAGGCTATATGTCAGGTCAAATCAAGCTATATAAAACACGTAGCTCAACCATATGGCTCACACGCGGGCATATTCGCGCTTCAATATTTCATGGAGAGATTCAGAGAAAATCTGCTCTTGCCGTGCGGAGAAAGCTCGAAATCAGCGATTGTGGTTGGCGGGAGCGGGTTCACTGAAGCCGCGGACGTCATCATGCGGGACGTCCTGAGCAGTAATGACTTGTGCAGAGCACGATGCTTCCTTTCCGCACGATCACACCTTTGCTGCCACCTAATACATAAAGGACTGATTCATGCGAGGGACTTTTGTATTATGCAAATGGCCGGTCTTTTATCGGTTCAGAGATCAATCGAAGAATTGGGTTTTCCGCGACGTGCAACTAGCCTGCCGTATGCAGTTAGTTTTATGTCTGGTGAAGCGAATTCAATCGAAGCTCGTTAGGAAACCTTTTTACGATTTGCCCTTGCCGATTATGAGCTTTTAGAACCTTTCTTCATAAGCTAATGTCTTGATGTGAGATTAGCGAGCGTACTGCAGCTGTGGAAATGCTGACACCGTCACCAACGCAGCTTAAGTAATCAGCATTTTATCACCGTAATTACCGCGAATAATTCTGCTATTTATGTCAGGAACTTCTTTTTGACGGACAGCAGCATTGCGTATCCCTGGCTGATTGTCCTTCAAATTGCCGACAAGAGTGCAGTGACAGAAATACACCTTTCATCGCACCACTGTGGCCCTCAGGAACCACGGTCTGTGACCAACAGGTCGCTGCGATCCGACCACGCACGCCACACTCACCTGTTTCGACCAAATGAGACCAATCGTAATGCATCCGTTGCAGAGGAATGTGAGTATTTGTATGAGGGCGAGGCTGGCGGCGACGGCGACCCCCAGCACTCCTAACATGCTGCTTAGGGGAGGTGCGCGCTGAATCACAGGCCTCCAGTGACGTCAGCGCCTCCCAGTGACGTCAGCGCCTCCCAGTGGAGCCGGTGCCATCCAATGTCAGCAGACCTGTAACGGACGACGCGAGAGGGGTTAGGCACTGGACTCACGGAGGCCTGGCGATTCTGGCGTGCGAGACTGAGACTGGGTGGTGCCGCGACTGGCCGGGTCCGTGGCGTTCTAGCAGGATATGCCTTCACTGTAGAGGCAGCGCAGACGGTGCTTTTAATGCTGCTGTATACGACTCTAAGCCATCGGTAAATCTCACCTAAATAAATGTGCAAGTCTGCTGGCATGTAGCCGGGTGTCTTTTGTCTATCGGTGGGAACAAACAAGGCACAGGTCCTGATGTTCAAACCCGGTGTCACCGGTTTGTCAAACACGGTCACATGGCCTTCATGACTGCACGGTGCACATAGTTCTGTGCATATGAGTTTTTAACGTTTAAATCTAATGGCAGTCGTACAAAATGCTGTGAAACCATTTTAACAAATGCTAGTTGACAAGTGCTGTGAAACCAAAACCACTGTGGTCTTGGTTTCACAGCATTTGTTAAGCAAAGCCCGTTGCATGCATCTAAATCCACCACTCAAAACAGACCAGTCGCTGTCGTTAATGGGATTGTCCTCCTGTCAGACAGAACCACGGAGTGTTTCACGTGCTGTGCAACGGGTCCAGTCGGCCATCCCGGGTCGGGCTAATCCGCTCTGGCCAGCTGCCAGCTGACTTTTCCTCGTCAGTCGACCCACATGCTGCGCCCACTCAGACGCCGGCGCCTGGTGCCGGTGTGGTACCATCCCGGCATCTCTCCCCTCCCTGGTGCCGGTGTGGTACCATCCCGGCATCTCTCTCCTCTCTGGTGCCGGTGTGGTACCATCCCGGCATCCCTCCCCTCCCTGGTGCCGGTGTGGTACCATCCCGGCATCTCTCCCCTCCCTGGTGCCGGTGTGGTACCATCCTGGCATCTCTCCCCTCCCTGGTGCCGGTGTGGTACCACCCCGGCATCTCTCCCCTCCCTGGACCACGGAGGCCTGTTTTCCAACGATGTGGTGAATTCGCTGGATAACCAACACCTGAATGTGGTCTACACATAATGCAGTTTAGCGGTTCGCATATGTTGTGGAGAAGACATGACCAACTACATCAGCACGAGCATCGTCTGCAGCTCACCAAAATATGCACAACCAAGTCAAGTGCGAAGTGGTGCTGCATAACGCACCGACATTAATGCATTTGTAAACCAAGTTTGTCGCCTTCCACGAAAGCCTCCTGATTCAATAACGATCTAGAATACCTTCTGTTCGCATGAGTCGCTTTGGGTTGAGAGTAGTTGCAAAGCAACGCCTGTTGAGCGTACCCTGGCGTCGCCGCCGAACGATGTTGTTGCCAGGACTACGGGGCAGCGTCGTATCCGACCTTCCACGCCTTACAGGTCGACAGGGGGCTTTTTCTTGCAGTCTGGTGCCAAACACGCATAATGTAGCGCTGCGTCCGGAATTCCAACCAGCATCAACTTCAAGGTTTCGAAATGCAGTTTTCAACCCAGCAAGATGGGTTTATGATATTTTCTTCCACATTGCACATACCTTTTTACGCACCGCATACCAAACCCAATCCCCAGTGAAGGGAAGTGCCCTACGGCGAAATACAGGCGGTAAACATTGAAATGATTCGCTTGCATTCGACAGGTAATCTTGACATTGGCTTGAAAAGCATCCTGGAAAGCCTTTTAATCGGAGCGAGGAGTGTTCAGTTCTGCTTCTGACAATGTTATAATAAAACTTACCTGCAGAACGTTTAGCTTGAAGCTTAGGCACCCCGCTGTGCATTGAATGGTAGAAATGTTTCACACATATCTTTCATTCCATATCATACAAAAACGAAAACAACACAACCAGGCCTGCCTGGATCTTTTACAGCAGCTGCAATTGTTATCTAATATATAGTTTATTGGTCGTTTTTGTGGCTTAGCTCGCGACATGATGCCGTTAAATGAAATGATTCAACAATAACTGGGAAGAGCGGAGAAGGGTTTTACAAGTTTTCACTTTTAAAGCACCGGCTTGAAAGGCATCGCTTAGAATATCATTGATACATACTCACCTCATCCTACGGCTTTTAGCCGTCATTCATGAACAGACAGAGCGACATGAACACATCACTGCCCGAGCACCATACAGCCTGCTATGCTCAACTTTGATGCAATATTTTTCCTGACAGCATTATCAAGTCAATGGGCACATCCGGCCACCCGTTGACGAATGGCCAGCATCAAGTGCAGTGTCTGACGTGGCAGATATGAATGTCGACAATACCATCGCCACGGGACCTGGACGCGTCACCAGTCCGCCGGGCATGAATAACAAACGACACCCAACTTCTGCACTGCCTCAGCCCAGGCGCGGCCAATCTCCGGCGGCGCGAGCCTTGGACAGTGCGCCCAACTGTCGCCGGCGACGATAAAGGGAGCCTCGCCGGCGCCTGCGACCGTCACCTGCGGCACGCCAGGCCGGTCTGAGTGTCCCAGTCGGAGCGACGCTGGCTAGACGTGTGCGTGTGTGTGTGTGTGTGGAAGGGTGAGGGACAAGCCGCAGCTCTGCAAGCATGGAAAGAAATGCGCCGGTGAAAAGGAAGTAAGCTCCTGTGAAAGTGTGCCGCAACATCTTCAGCCCCTTGCGACTTGCATCAGCGTGAGGGATGTACGCGTTATTCTCATCATCGGTACATTAGGTTCTTAAATAAATGTGCTCTAAAATTGCAAGATTAGGCGAGGGTTACCATAGCAACGCACCAGCACCATTTTCTGTTACGATGTGACTGTTAAGTATCCACGCGAGGACGTTGTGGAGATACAGTTACGCATCAAACTTGTCACATGCAATGGCACAGCAGCCATTTGCTTTCAATATTGCGATATCAATGTGTGCGCTCAAAGAAATCAATTATCACTGAAGTTCCTGATGCTAAGCCACTCACATAATTCCTGAGGATCCCACCTGAATGTATAAAGTTGCAAGATTCATGTCATTTTGCAGCCGTCCTGCGCACACTATGCTAAATTCCTCACAAGCTATTATGATTTATTTCTAGCAGCTGAGTTCAGTTGGTCGGTGGTCGTTACCGTGCCGGGTTGCTGGGCATGTACATACATGCAGAAGCCAAGAGCGCCAAACTTCCTCCTTAAATCCACATCAACCGGCATCCCAAGGTAATTGATCATGAAATGTCACAACATCTGTTCACTCAGGTACGGGTTAACGAATGCAGTTCCGGTCATAAGACTAGCTTGTTGGCGCTGTTTACCATCCACTGTGCTTTGGTGGTCGGAAGAGTAAGGGGCCGGTTTTGACACTGCTTTTTGTGCTTAATCTGTGCTTTAGAGCGTGCCGATCACGTTGGTCATTTTGCGTCCATAACGACATTCGGTGGTGTTAAAATGACCTGAAAGTCGATATCTTTAAAGAACGAGAAAGCCTGTTCGGACTCAGGAAAGGAGTTGTCACCAAGGGCATCGCTAATCGCCAGGGACGAAGCCTGCGGTCCAAAATGACGTCGTCGTTCTTCAATCAGGCGTTGACACGACATAAATCACGTAGCGAATAGTGAAAACGGTACCACATCGATGGCAGATGGGCCTGTGGGCCCCACGCAACAGATAACCATGGGTGGCATAAGTGTGCCCGATACGCAACCTGCATGGAGCTACTTCTCACCCAATGTCGCGAGAACAAGATGAGCACAAAGCCAGCTGGGCTTTTAGTGCTCGGAGATTACTGCTGCCCACCTGATCCCACAAGCCGTGCCGAGTTGGCTGACGCCGCTGCTAAACACCGCTGCTCGTTTAGCAGTGGCGTCGGCCAACTCGTTACCTACGATACCGACGTGACTGGGAATCCAGCGCAGGGCAACTCTCTTCCCAGCCTGATCCAACTGCGTCAGACGTGATAAAATGTTCTGTTTAAGGGAAGTGATGGATACAAAGATCTAAGTGCAGGGAGGTTGATCAGTGAATCTATAAAAATGGCACGTAAAGATTTGGCATCAAGTTCTATGAAGCATATCGCCTTGGTATCGCAATAAATTCCGCTGTGAGAACTGATACGTGGGCCGGTAACGAAAACGATTGAGCGACGTAACCTCTGACAAACTCACAGCCCATGCCATCGGATTCTTCAAACACTTGACGCTGTTTCGGAATCACCAAATATTCCCTCCCAAATAAACATCCGGACACGTGCCCTTTTGACTGCTGCGTTTTAGGCCACATCAGAATGCGCCATTGTGATGAAACCTGAAGCTTCGCGGAGCGCGGTTACGGCATGAACATCCCAAAGCACAACACATCACGCACCGAAGTCCCCAGAAAGCCGGCCGATCCGCGTCTGGCTCGCCTGTGGCGCCGTGTTTTCGGCAGCGGTCGCCAGGCCGTCGCACCTGCCCAACGTCTGTCGGTGCGGTCGCCGTCTGTCAGAGGGCATTCGCGGCGCTTGGCCGCTGCCCAGACGTCGCCCGTCAACGGCTCGACCGCGCCGACTTCGAGCCGCCTAACCGCCACTGCGTACAGCGGGCCGCGATCCGCCAGCTGAGCCACCGGCCGGCCGCCAGCGGAGCACACACCGCCAACCGCCTCCAAAACGGCACGGCGCCAATACAAAAACAAGGCTAGCTGCATTCAAGTTGCAGTACCCCCCGGCCGTTGCATGGGGGCTTAGTCGGGGCTGGAGGCAAATGGCTCACCCGGCGCCGAACTTGTGCGCGGACTGTTGGTGCGCGCAGTCACGTGATAAGTTGAGAGCATTTAGACGCTCGTTACCTCGCGAAACAGGCGGCCCCTTGGACGATTTAGCCAAGAAAACCCAAGTCACGTCCTCCTCGGACCAAAACAACATCTGGCTTTGCGCGCTCGATGGTGACCGTTGTCGGCGGCCTGGGCCGGTCTGCTAAGGCCGGCTCGGCCCCCACCCCCTCGCCTCGTTGCCCCCGGTCTGCCACTCAGCCCCCCTAGCTACCCTCCGGCCTGTCGGTCCGCCCCCCCCCCCTCGCTGCCCTCGTCTGCTGGTCAGTTTCTT